GGTGGAAGGGATCGGCAGGGTTAGCTTTTCGGCCAGACAGAGATGTGAGGGAACTGTAATACTTTCAGCAACAAAGATAATTTTTTTTAAATATATCTTTATTTCAAGGAGAGGGAGAGAGAAATAGAAACATCAGTGATGAGCCACTGATCAGCTGCCTCCTGCATGCCCCCCACTGGGGATCGAGCCCGAAACCCCAGGCATGTGCCCCGACCGGGACTCGAACCTTGATCTCCTGGATCCTAGGTCAATGCTCAACAGCTGAGCCACACCCAGCCTGGCCAACAATAAAGATAAATTAAAAACACCAAAAAAAAACCAGTCATAAGATTTAGGGCCTGTGCTAATCTAGAATGGCATCTTCATTACATCTGCAAGGACCCCATTTCCAAATAAGGTCACGTTGAGGTTAGGACTTCAACGTTTTGGGGAACAAAATTCAGCCCGCAACACGTGGCCTCCCACATCCCCAGCTGTCCGGGGAAGTGACTTCGTCAGGGTGCATCAAGAACTTTGTACAGGGCGCCTCCTCAGTCTTGAATGAAGGGGTGCATTGTGGCTGCCACTGTGACCAGGGATGGCAGTAAGAAGCATCACGCAGGGAAATTGGGGGGGGGGTAGGTAAAGGGGTGAGCGGCAGGGGGGTTGTTTTGTTAAATATATCTTTATTGATTTCAGAGAGAGGAAGGGAGAGAGAAAGAGAGAGAGAGATAGAAACATCAGTGATGAGAGAGTCATTGATGGGCTGCCCCTTGCACGCCCCCAACTGGGGATGGAGCCCACAACCCGGGCATGTGCCCTGACCAGGGATCGAACCCTGATCACCTGGATCCTAGGTTGACCCTCAACCTCTGAGCCACACCCAGCCGGGCAGGGGGGTTGTTTTGGAGACGGGGTCAAAGAGGTTCCGTCTAAAGGGTCACCCTTGAGCAGAGGTCTGACTTAGAGAAGGGGCCAGCCCTTTAGGGCCCTGGAGAAAGAAAGTTCTGGAAAAAGGGAAAGACCCTCAGGCTGAGGTGTGCCTTGTGTCACTGGGGACGAAAGGCAGCCAGCAGGCCTAGGGGACAGAAGTGGGAGGTGGGTTTGGAGGGAGAGCCAAGGGCCAGATGGCTCAGGGACAAGCCAAGGCCGTTTTCCCCCAGTGAGATGAGACGCCGCAGGAGCGCTGGGCAGAGCTGCGGGCTCCGGACCTGCGTTTATGAAGACTGTTCCCCTCGCGCCTGGACGGCAGCTGTGACCGGAGCCTGGGTGAGAGCCGGGGGCCTGACCCAGGGCTGGGCTGAGCTGAGCTGACGTCAGGAGGGGAGCAGCAGGGTTTGCTGTTGGACCAGGTAGAGATGTGAGGGCACAAGGGGCCCTGGCCAGGTAGCCCAGCTGGGAGAGCATTTCCAGTCCCAGCCCCAGTCACAGCCCATACAAGCATCAACCATGAAAACGTAAGTGGGACGCAAATCCGTATTTCTCTCTTCCTCTCTCTCTAAAGTCAATCCATTAAAAAAAACTAAATGATGAAGGGGTCTGTTCATTAAAAAGCCCATGACTGCCCTATGTTTATGCATCTAGTGACGGCTTCAGAACACATGGAGCCAAAGCAGGTCTCACTGCGAGGGGAGGCGAGTGCTCGGGAATCGACAGACGGGCGGGACTGTGGGCAGGGATCCGGGGCACTCGGAGGGCACTGCCAGCCCGCGGCCGAGTCGGCGTTTCCCGGGACACCGCGCCCGGCGGCGGGGGGCAGGCCTGCTGGGGAGGGCGTCGCGGCCTAGAGGGGTCCTGACTGTCGCGGCGGAGGCCGCCTGGGCAGGTGGCGCTGGTAGAACGCGCATGGCCTCTGACGGCTGAGCACTGGGCCTTCCAGCCTTCGGAGGTTGGGAAGAGCGCAGGACCCGGACCCAGCGAAGGAGACGGCGCGGGAGCCGCGGCCCTGAGGCCGGCG